AGAATATCTAGACTCTGCTTTGGACTATGCACGTAGTTTCGCTCATGAGCTGAGATGGTCAGCGGTCATCATAGAATAGTGTCCTCCCGGGCGGACTAAGCCGTTTTGTCGCCCAGCACGACGGTGGTATTATTACTTCAGTAGTATCACTTAGTCAGGTAGGCCGAATTTAGAGAATCAAGGTTCGAAACCGCTAGGAATGGCGGGAGAGGGGAACATGTTTCGGCCTGCACGATTCGCGTTGATTACCGGCCGATCCTAGAGATATATAGCCTTTGTATGTGACCGCAGGTGTAATGCTGTTCTAATTCTGCGTCCATGCATAAGTGGACCGTTCAAATACGAATGTTTATTGTTTCATGTTCTGAACGTTGTTATTATAAACAGGTTTATACGAAACTCGCCTGGTGTCTTACCAACTGGGAGTATCCAAGAACTCAGTCGGAGTTCGACAACAGTTTCACGTGCAAGGTTTTTATGTTCCAGTTCATCAACTATTATTCTTCCCTATTCTATATCGCATTTTTCAAAGGAAGGTGAGTGAAATTACCTACTCATCGTTAATATATAATCAGTTAATTTCAAGGTTTGTCACTCTTCCGGGGTCAACCAATGCTACCATGTTCGGATACAAGCCTGAAATGGTAATTTAGTTTTTGAACATTTTGACTGTAAGAAAAATTATAACGTAATTTCTAATGTATATTCGTCAGCATGCTCCGAAAGCACAGAGCCATTGAGTTTATTTCGTTATAAGGTTATGGTGCGGTGCTGATTTCCGTTAATCGGCTTTCAGGCACGAGTGCCTTTTTTAGAGGTAGGGTCTACAACAGCTGGTTAACAGGCATAGTATTTAGTATTCTGTTTCCTTCAAACAGAATTGTACTCATTTATCAACCATTGAAGAAAGAGGTGATTGACTGGAACTGGGCTTAAACCCATTACCTTTCGGTACAGTCAGACTCTGCATATTTCAGAGCAGCTTCAATCTACAAGAAACATTCAATAAGCAGTGAATACTATTCGTCCATCGTGATGAACGAAGGATGAGGTGTCGTTATAATCCTGATACGAACAGTCCTTAACAATTAAGCTGTACCCTGAAGAAATTGTTAACATTCATGAATCATCCTGAAACGTTTCTAAGCAGTGATTGAAAATGGCAGTATCAGTACTGTTTACAGTTATTTTCTACAATCGTTCGGTTTGTGTCAATTCACTGAATTAATAGTTACAAAATAAATATTTCTAAGGCTCATACCGATACGGTGCCACGAATGACTTGAAGGTGATAGGTCTTTTGAACCATGGAATTACAAGACCTATTACCTAATGGTCAATAATTTATGAACCATAGGCATTCTGCGTTTCAGGTTTAGCTAGCCGAAACGGTATGTAGGAAATGCAGGTTCCAGCAAAGGAGTATTTTATGAACATTACATTTCTTTCTTCTTGATCCATGGTTTAATAGACGGTGTTTTAAATCTGCAGTGAATGGATGTGATACTCGTTACAGATCATGCAGCCGTAGGTATTGCAGTACTTACAGTATTATGAGTGAAAAGCTTCACGGACTAAATTCTTTTGGCGAAACCAACATAAAGATGGTCACAGAACAGACCGACTATCAGATGGCTCAATTATATTGGCCAGGTGACATCGAGTCTGGAATAGGTTCATTCAGCTTAAAAGTTTCGTCAGAGGATAGGGACTTTTGTGTTTTTTCCAGTGCTGCTGACGCCGTTAAACTCAAAAGCAATATCGGGGTTTAAGAATGAACTATGGGTGTATTCTTTAGCTACTGTAATTACTGTTACAGTATCATTACCACCTTATTATATTGACTTTTTTAGCCTAACCATTAAACTCGTGTTTTAGTGCGATATGCGTGGCTGCATGGTTGAGCTGCTGATACAACTGTCGATGATCATGATTGGAAAGCAGTTCATTAATAATTTCTTCGAAATCGGTATTCCGTACGTATGACATTGCAAAGCCTCATAGTGCGCACCTTGTTACCGTTCGTCATTCTTAGTGTAATTACAAAGAAGTTCCGCCAAATGCGGCAGGCATGGAAGTATTCGTGTCGGCTTCCGTGGGAATTCGACTATTACCTGAATCCCGTACCACCGACATACCTCATCGATGAATACCTTGAAGTGGGTGAGTTTCGCGCTTTAGCATTACTTAATTCCAACTGATTGTACCTCTTTGTGTGTTTAGTTTTGCAGTTTGGCTTTGTTACGCTTTTTGTTGCCGCGTTTCCGCTTGCCCCTTTTTTCGCGTTGCTCAACAACATCGTGGAAATCCGCATAGACGCCTACAAATACATCGTCACCTATCGTAGGCCTACCCCTGTTAGAGTGAAGGATCTTGGAATTTGGAACAACATTCTCGAAAGTTTGTCCAATCTGGCAGTTCTAACAAATGTAATTTTAAGTTTGATGTTTTATTGTTAATTTATTGTTTGACTTTCCGTATTATGCTGAATAAGTCTGTTATCGTACAGGTCCGAGTGCATTACAGCTGTAAGTTCTCGCACTAGGGGCTTGACTTAGAGAGTTACACTACAGGGCTGTACCAGTTGTT